CAGGGGAGGAGCTCTGGGGGAGTGAGAATGGGAGTTCCCCGTGGCTGGGGCGGCTGCTGTCTCCATCTGTCCTGACAGCACAGAGAATTACTACGGCGCTGCCCAGCAAAGCCCTATTCCATACATTCAGAGCCGGGGACGAAGTAGGAAGTGCCCAGGCGCCAAAGTAAATGAGGCTCCTCCCTGGAGAGGTGCCAAGGCCCTGCGTTTAGACCACAGCTGAAAGGGCCCTTGGAAAGCTTCTGGAAGCCTCCCCGAAGAAGATGGAAGAAATTCATACACTGTCCCTGTGTCCAGTGAGACGGCACCGAATCTGCTCTGCAGACAATGGCAGGCCTTTGCAGGGAGCGGCAGCTCTCGGAGGTAAGGCCTTCGTCTGTCCTGAGCAGGCAGCCATTCTCTGATGATGAGCCCAAAGCAGAGCGTGGGGGACTCCCTCATCAAAGGCTCAGGTCCCAGGTCTAGGGCAATGTCTGTTTGCTCTCCCTTTACTGTCCTTCCCTCCAGCCCTACCATTGCCCACTGCTCCAGAAACACTCCTTCGAAAGAGATTTCAACTTGGCACCTGTGATGGAAGCCAAGAGGAGGGGCTAAGTGAGGATTGGTGTTGGCCAAAGGGGAAAGGATTGAAATTAACCTGGGAAAAAGCTACAGGAGATCACAAGTGGGTGGCATGGTCCCATCTTCTGAGGTGCCATCACGGCCTCGGTGGAACATCCGAAGCTGTAACCTACCACGTATCAATGGGACAGAGAAGCTGGGGAGGGCAGCCTGCTTTCAGCTGCTTTTCCGGATCAGCCTCATACCCACCTGGCCTTCTGAGGGTGGGCCCGCATCCTCACAGACCGGGGCCCCCCTCACAGGTCTAATCCCCCAGCCCAATTGCACACAGACCAGGCCTGGAAGGAGGGACACCAGAGGGGAGCCCAGTGCCTGGTCAAGTCTCTGACTCCTGTCGTGTGACTCCACTCAGTTCTGACCAGGGTTCCCATTCTGGGGAGTCAGAGACTTAGAAGCCTCACTGAGCACGACTTTTTTTTTTAATGTAAAAAAATGATTTATTGACAATATCTTTGTTAGTGTTAGATCTAAATTATAGTAACAATGATCTAGTAACATAAATTTAGTGATGTAAATAGATGTTGAGGTAATAGGTAAGAGTTTTTAAAGTCTTTCACCTTTAAAAGCTGACCCCCCCCCAAAAAAGGATCATACACCAGCCTCCCCTGGGCGGTCATATGAGTGGCACCTCCCGGTGATTCTGATTTAAGGCAAGTAGCCACTAATTACCCTGGGCCACTTGTGGCCTGAATGACTGTCTCCCCATATCCCTTGTTATGTAAAGCGGTCATGACTGCTTTGTGAGTGTGGGTAAATTTGAATAGGGGCCAGGTTGCCACCTGGGAAAGAAAGAGGTGTAACCCCCTAACCTCTTCCCTTCTGAGAGTGCAACGTGATGGAACATCTCTAACAGACGGAGATGGGTCGGACCAGAAAGGACACCAAGGGCCCCCAACAAGGAGCCCAGCTCCAGACATGAGCCTGGATGATAACCTGAGCTCAGTTCTCTCACTGGAAGGTCCATTAAGGGCTGGTTTTGGCCGATTGTTTGAGCCCCAAAGTACCCCCCAAAAGGCCACCCAGGCAAAGAGAGCATCTTTCAGACTGAGTAAACCCCCTTTGGAGGCTTTAAGCTTCAGAGGCAGACCTGGAGATTGTCCTTTGTCCTCCCTCCAAAAAAAAAAAAAAAAAAAAAATCACTGCGGCTTTTGGGTTCACTGGGAGTGGCGAGAGCAATTGAATCACTGGGACACAGTTTCCAACAGTGACCCTGTTACCAGGAAATGGGCAATAAGAATTACCTCGATTCTTGGTCATGCCCCCACAAAAAAGAATTTTTAAAGAGAGACAGAAAGCGTGATATAAGCAAGATTATTATTAGTGAAGTAAAAAGATAGTAAAAGATAGTTTGCTCCCAAGAACTGAGAGCAGGCCAGTCCCAGAGAGGAAAGATGGTGCCACGCCTCTGTTTTTCCTGTTTTTATATCCTGGCTTAGAGGCCTTTTCGTGATTGATTAATTGGCTCAGGTTCTTTGAGTGATCAGGCTGATTGACAGCTCAGGTTCCTTGTGCTCAGGTTGATTGAAAACTCAGGTTCCCTGTGCTCTGGCATGCCCATCCCCTTGTGGGCATGTTCATTGGGTCAAGTTATGGCGGGTCCTTTTATGCGCAGCTGCAGCGTTTTGACTTTAACTGGCTTCTTTTGCTGGCCCTCATTTAGAGAAAGTAAAAATTCCTGGAGTCCCTTATCCTGAGTGCAGACGTGCTGTTATTTTCTGGGTTGTTCCTTTCCCCTTCCTCTCCCCCAGCCCAGTGCTCATGTCTATCTAACTGCCTAACAACCCTATTGCAGAAAAACTTATGCTGGCAGGAAGTTGGAGACTGAC